GAAGGCCAAGAACTACGCGGCCGCCGCCAACGAGTTCGGCAAATGGGTGTACGCGGGCGGCAAAGTCCTGCCCGGACTCGTCACCCGTCGCGCCAATGAAAAGGCACTGTTTCTCCGGTAAAGTGTCGGGGTCCATGAATGTTGTATAATTGTGTAATACTTTCTGATTGTGTATAAATAAAAATATTTTCATCATACATTTGATTTAGCATTATGTTCATTATACTGTACATACATTTATGTTAATGTCTGTGTGGTTTTAGCTTGAGAAGTTAATTAAAATTTATATAATATATTCTTATAATCTATATAAATGAATAGAGATATTATTCCTATAAATTTCACGTAATTATTGTTTTGCTAACGACTTTGCATAGAAATTGACAAACAGTTAGAAATGTTATAATAAAAAATTACCAGAGAAAATAATAAATAAAATTCTTTAGGTAGTATTTGTAGGTGTTTTGTGAGTGCCTCGGTACACCACAGTTTGGAGTTTATTTAAGTATTTATTTATGGTATTACTGTACAAATATTAGTTAACAATTCTTATGTAATACAATATATTGCAAATGATATTCTTATAATTATGTCAATAGTGTATTCATATGAATTTTGCGCAAAAATGATTTTATTTATCATTTGGTATTATAATTAAAAAATAAATAGAAATGTAATAAATTATTACTAATAATAGTGTTATGTAACAGTGTTAATACTATGTAACTATAATAATAAACAATGTGATTTAAATAGCTATTCATGTGATTGATTAAATCCCAGTTTGATATCCTGATACCCGATCACCCCATTATATCACTGTATGCATGACATACCGGTGCCAGAGAGACTAATATCCTGTAAAATAAAATTTAGTGACATTGTATTTTGAGTTATTATTAATAATCAAACTTGATAATTATTTTATCTTGAGTTTACTTTTTTATTTAAAAATTACATTTTACTAAAAATAATTTAATAATTGTATTAACAAGTAAATGTGCCTGATCCTGGCTAAACTCTATTTTCCCAGGGCATATTAGACTTTAAAACTTAATAAGTGCCCTGTTAATTGTTTGCCTGAGAAAGTATTGGAATTATACGCTAATCATAATAACCAATTATTGGATAAACAATAGACTTTAAACTTTTTGAATAAACTCTTATCAAGAGATTGATTTCATTACTGTTTTCATTACTAATAACACAAACATTGAATAAATGTTTCACTATTTTTCACAATTAATATTATAAGTGCTATAAAAGGCAGCAAAAAAGTAGACATAGTTCTACTCGTTTGAAGTGTTTTGAGCTGTCATACTACGATGTTTAAGACAATCTCGGTACTTTTGCTGGCTGTAGCCTTGGTCAATGCTCGCAACATTAACCAGGCTGGTCTAGATTTGATCAAGGTCTCCGAGGGATTCAGAGCTAACTTTTATGGCGATCCAGTCGTATGAATAAAAGCATTGAAAATACAGAATATATTCTTTTATTTAATTATATTTATTTGTATAAACAGGGTATTCGTACCATTGGTTACGGACACAACTGCAAAGCCAAAGGTTGTGACACTATCCACGCGCCAATAACCCAGGCCCAGGGGGAGGCCCTACTTCATCAGGATTTAGTGGGTTTCCAGAACTGTGTCGAGAAAGCCGTCCCCTTTGTCAATGATAACCAGTTCGCTGCCGTATGTATTGTATTATGTATTGATATTTTGTTTTTTAAAACCTTACGCAATAGTTACTACAAGTAAAAGTACTTAATGTAAATAGTAAATATTAAATATTAAAATTAAAAAATGGCAAAACTTTAAGATAAGGTAGATGCGAGTTATGAGACTTATAAACTTGTTCACATTGCGATATAATAACAACATTTACACTTATATTGAGTATTTATTTAACATTAAATTATAATTAACTTGTAAGTACAATATAATATATATAATATAAAACTCACAAGTCAGTTTTGACTTTAAACATAAAGTATAAATGATTAAAGTTTATTAATAAATCATATAAATTAATTTTCATCGGACAGTTGGTATCGTTTTCATTTAACCTGGGTTGTGGTGCGCTGGAGGGGTCGACCCTTTTGAAGGACGTGAAGGCCAAGAACTACTCGGCCGCCGCCAATGAGTTCGGCAAATGGGTTCACGCGGGCGGCAAAGTGCTGCCCGGACTCGTCAAACGCCGGGCCGCCGAAAAGGCACTGTTCCTCAAGTGATGGCTAGAGTTAGCAATAATATGAGCACCTTATTAGGTATACGTTATGTATTGTGTCATTTGTTTAGGATTTTGTCGTCCGATAGTGTTATGTAATATAATTTATACATTTTTATGATTGTGAATAAATAAAAATACTTGTTCATTATACGTGCAAGTTATGTTATTTAAATTATTTTTAATTAGCCGAGTAATCGGGTTTAAGGCTATAGTTATGTTAATATCAGAGTCTTTTAGTCTCTATACACACAAAATCGCGAAAAATAATCTTAAAAATTAAAAATCTATTTTGTTTAATATTTGGTTAGTTATAAAATTGTTTACACCAGTATGAATAAAATGAATTTAAAATAAATAAAAAGTCAAAACTTTTAATTATTTAACTTTTAAAGTATTTTGGTTAGTTTATTGTTTTTAAGAGGCTATATTTCCATTTATTATGAAACATAACTATATATTAGTGAACGATTGTAAATATTTTGTAAAATAAATGTCTTAAAATTTGATAAGGTGGCTAATAAATAGATTTTATTTTTTGATATTTTGATGTACTTCCCTTTTAATAATAATTGATAAATTAGATTACTGGTACTCCATCTGTTTGTAATTGTCATATGATAATATTATGTAATATTTTTATGATTATTATGAAATAAAAGTATTATTGAGTAACATTGAGTTAGTTAATATATTTATTTTAATGATTTATTAAAATTTCTTATTGTAAAAAAGTTGTATTAGGCAAATTAATTACTTAAATAAATGTGCATCTAAAATTATATGAGCCTAGATAAGCATTTATAAAATGTTCTGGTTGTAATTTTCCATAATATTTTATATTATAAAACTTAATTAATTGTTTATGTTTTACCTAGTAACAGGTATAAATATCACATATAAACTGATATTAAAATTAATTTTCATAAGTTCTGAACACGGTAATAATCTCAACATTTAAAATATTATACTCCTAATAATTTTGTTAATAATTTTGCGTATTTATAACCTAAATAGACAACTCTGTATCAGTACAATGCATAAGATAATCTCGGTACTTTTGTTGGCTGTAGCTTTTGTCAACGCTCGTGACATTAACCAGGCTGGTCTTGATTTAATCAAGGGTTTCGAGCATTTTGAGCCTAACTTCTATAATGACGGCGTGGTATGTATATCATGTTACCCTGCGCAATTTTTAATCACTCATGAATGTGTACACTGTACAGGATAAAATTACCATTGGCTACGGACACAATTGCGAAGCTCTAGGTTGCAGTGGTATTGAGGCGCCTATAAGTAAGGCCACCGCTGAGGACATACTGCAAAAGGACCTGGTCCAGTTCAAGAACTGTGTCCAGAAAGCCGTCCCCTTTGTCAATGATAACCAGTTCGCAGCCGTATGTACTAGTTTATACTTGCTATTTACACAATCATACATAATTGACCACATGTGCACCCCATGTTTAATATATGAAACACATAAAAAAATTAAATCTAATAACCCTATACACCTTAATTATACCATGAACAGTTGGTGTCGCTGACGTTTAACATCGGTTGCGCTAACTTCGGAGAGTCGACCCTTTTGAAGGATTTAAAGGCTAAGAACTACTCGGCCGCTGCCAATGAATTCGCGAGTTGGCGGATGGGGACAGTGAAAGGCAAAAAGCAAGTCCTCAACGGACTCGTCACACGCCGGGCCGCCGAAAAGGCACTGTTCCTCAAGTGAAGGCTAATAATGTTGGTAATATCAGGGTCGTTTAGATATACTGTACTTGTTGATATATTGGTGTACTTATACAGTACTCTAGTAACTAGAGTCTAGTTGTCTATAGTTGTGGTATAATACTGTTACGTACTATTATTTTGTGACTCTGAATTAATAAAATATATTGATCATTTTAAGTGGAATTTATATTATTTAAATACAATAAATTATTTGAGTTATAATTGAATTGACTATTTTCTCGTAATTTGATACTGAAAACTGTAATATAGTATTTTATAATATTGGATCCGGAAAAAAGTTTCCGCAATGCCTTTGCTTTAGTAAAAATTTGATTATTTCTTAACTAGAACATTTACTTTTAATCGATTTAAACCCCAACTATGGTTTTAAGCATTACATGTTCTCCCGAA